GGGTAGGTTTCAAATGATTCTTTAGATAATGCTGTCATCACCATTACCTGAAAGAGCAAAAGCCAGCTCCATTAAGGTGAAAGGGTGTTTAGGGTCATTGTTTTCAAATGAACTTCACTGAGAATTCCAGAAAAATTAGCTTAAAAAAATAAAAAACAGCCATTTTGAAGTCACAGGGTGTTTTAATGGAAACTTTTGAAAACCCCCCACTACTTTATTTTTAGAGATACGGCAAAATTTGTCAGAAAAAAAAAATTCACATTATGCTCGACTTTGAAAATCAGGTATTTTTGTTGGGTTAATATAGCAGAATTCACAGAAACATCACTTTTTTAGACTAAAGATTGCAGTTACTCCCCCTAGCGCCCATAGAGTTGAAGTTTAGAATTAGATTTATGTTGCTAAAAGGTAAGTATTTTGTAATAATGATTGCAAAGCCACGTCTTGTGCACTTTTTTGTATGCAATTGAAGACTTTCAAGTTCGTAGCAGCCTCTGCTTTGATCCATGTCTCGGAGAGTGCGACTATATCAATTTTCCCCCGGAAATAATATACTAAGCGACATATAAATCCGAACACCCAGTTTAAATGGTTTTATTTTAATAAAAGTTGGTGAATGTATTTATCTTATTGTAAATAACAAGTGAAAAAATTTTCAGCCTTATCAGTTGCACATTCCGGTTTTTATACTGCTTTTTTTTAATTCACTAACGCTCTAAAATGAATATTTCAGCCGCAGTAAAGAATCAACGTTGGCGGATTTTGGTTCTTGACATCCTTTACGATCGGTTACGATGCCTAGAGTACGGAGACCTGTACGATTTCGTCAACTTAGTGAGTTTGATAGGGGCCGTATAGTGGGACTTCGGGAAGCTGGACTTTCTTTTCGGGCAATTGCAGTTAGAGTGCAAAGAAGTGTAGACACTGTGGTTAGGTGTTGTCAGGCATGGCTTCGAGAAGGCCGTACGCAAAGAGCAAGGAGCATTGGATGCCGCCGTAGAACAACAGACCGTGAAGATCGCCGCCTAAGATTATTGGCCTTAAGGGACCGTTTCTCCACTACCAGCTCCATTGCAAATGAATGGTTTGCAGAACACGGAAGACCTATTGGCATGCGAAGTGTTTACCGACGAATGGGAAGTTTTGGCTTGTTTTCATACCGGCCACACTGGGTCCTCCCTTTAACTCGAGAATACCGACGTAATCGCCTTGAGTGGTGCAGACAACGGTCACTCTGGGATCAGGAATGGAACAGCATCGTCTTTAGTCACGAGTCTCGATTTTGTTTAGGCATGCACGATGGTCGTGCCAGGGTTAGAAGGCGACGTGGTGAAAGGAGGAATCCACAGTTTTTTGTTGCAAGACATGTTCATCACACTGTTGGAGTTATGGTTTGGGGTGCTATAGCTTCTGGTTCCAGGTCACCTTTAACCTTCATCAGAGGTAACATGAACGCGCAGCGTTATATCCACGAAGTTCTAGAACCCCATCTTTTACCCTATCTTGACACCCTGGCAGATCCAACTTTCCAACAAGATAATGCCCGACCACATGTTGCAAGAGTCACAATAGACTTCTTTCAACATAATGATGTCACATTGTCACCATGGCCACCAAGATCTCCCGACTTATCCCCAATTGAGCACGTGTGGGATATGATGGGTAGGAGATTGCTCAATTTGCAACGTCCACCTAGAAGCACTTCGAGAGGAGTTGGTGGTTGCCTGGAATGAGATACCACAGGAGGACATTGACCACCTGATCAGAAGCATGCCTAGGCGTGTTGGAGAATGCGTAGCCCATCAGGGTGCATCCACACATTATTAAAGGTCAAAGGGCTTTAAAGCAGTGCAATCATTTTGAAATTTTTATCATTTACTTATTATGCTTCATTAAGTACTTATACAAAATTTTATTAAAATAAAACCATTTAAACTGGGTGTTCGGATTTATATGTCACTTAGTATATCAATGGGATCAGTTCTACTGAACCTACTGCCGCGAAAATTTTTGAAAATGATGTATTATGTTTTTTGGATGTTATATGACATCTACATTACGAAAAGCCATGTCAGGAATTTATGTCTGTCTTTCGGTGTATCTGTCCGCTAATCTTATAACTGCCTATAACCTGAAAATTACCGATCGGATTTTATGAAATTTTTACACAATGTTACTCCTACGTAGTAATGATAGAGGTCGTTATGTTCTAGAAAATGTCTGCAATGCAAATTAGTCGTTCTTGAATAAAAAATGTTTAAACATTATCCTTTATTTTGTATACCCCACTGAACTTGAGTGCTTATAAATATTCGTATCTGATCAAATACTCTCAACAAAGAAGCACAACAGATGTATAAACAAACATAACATCAAGAATCTCCGAGAGAAGTATGCAGTGGTCTGGAATAACAGAAATATTTTGTCGTACTTCACTTACTATTAACGGTTAAACGACCAATTAAAAATGTATTTCTCTCTCTTTAATCATGCTGTTTAAGAGAAAGCACCTTACAACCTAAAATTATCAAACATAAATAAGGTATATATACACTTGATCGAAAGATTGCTAGATATACAATTAGCAACTGCTGCATGGTTTGTTAACCAACTAATCATCGTTATATCTGTAGGTGTACCGTGAACCCACGGCATTAGAAAATTTCTATCATTGCCTGATGCCATGCTTTGAGAAAAGCATTCATCAATCTGTTTTGTGACTGTTAGTCAGCTTTGTTATGACCTGTCATGTTAGGACAATGCTTAAGCTGCTGAAACATTTTTCTGATTGCTGATTTTTTCCATACCCACTTTGCTTCCATGCTTCGGGTTCTTATATCAACAATAATTTGTCATCAACAATAAATAGCTAACAACCATACAAAATTAAGGTTCCAAAAATGTGACGCACTCTAGGCATTTTGAGCAATCACAAAGAGGCTTCTCAATAAGCTTCACGAAATTTAACATTTAACTGACACCGTAAATGTACAGAAACTGAATGTTGTCTCTCGCATGTGAAGAATTTCTGCGGGCGCCCGGGTTCAGAGCGTTAAGTTACTTGTAATATTTAACGAGACTCCCAGAAATAGTTCACACTTCGTTTAGATTTAAGCACCACCTCCCAACCAGTTGCAAAATATATCCATGTCCTTTTTGTGTTTCTATTGTCTTCGAATTATATAACCACAATGCAGATTAAAAATAACCGTCACAGGTGCCAGTTTTTGCGTTACGAATTTATAAACTGCCCGCCACAGAAGTTCGTCCGTGACACTTTTAGGTCACTTCGTGACATACAGGTTTTTTGCTGATAACTAACTTTTATTTGATTATACAGGGTCCGCCAAAGGAACCTCACGTTTTCAGAATGGGTAGTACGAAGCTGTTTTTTGACGTAGAACATCGGTTACAGTGGGCAAGACATCGGTAGTAGATGCCATTTCAGTAGTCATGGAGCTGTGGACAGGTGAACATCGCGCATTTGTTGTCGAGACGTATTTTAAAAATCACGACTCGGTGATCATTACACAGCGTCTATTTCGTACACATTTCAATGTCGGACGTCATGGTTCTGTTCCATGCCGTAACACAAGTAAGTTGTGGGTCAAAAATTTTCGTCGATCTGCATCAGCAATGAAAGCTAAGCCACCAGGAATGCGTCGAACAGTTCGGACTCCAGCCAATATTGAGACGGTGCAAACAGCGGTGCAGCAAAGTCCACGTCGTTCAGCTAGGCTACAAGCAATTAGTCTAAGGCTTTCAGAAACAACAGTGCGGCGTATTTTGCTTAAGGATTTACATTATCACCCTTACAAATTAGCGATGGTTCAAGAACTGACAGCTGAAGACTTTGTGAACCGTTTAACTGCAAGCAACCAGCTTCTGGAACTTTTGGATGAAAACGCTTTAGGTGGCTTAATTATGTCTGATGAGGCGCATTTCGAGTTATCAGGCTACGTAAATAAGCAGAATTTTCGCGACTGGTGTGCAGAAAACCCAAGAGAACTTCACCAGCGACCCCTTCATAGTCGCAAGGTTACTGTTTGGTGTCGCGATTCGGCATAATTGGACCCTATTTTTTTGAGGCCGATGCTGGAAATTCTGTCACGGTCAATTCGCAACGTTATCTGGAAATGTTAAACACATTTTTGGAACCAGAGCTTCGTCGACGGAACATAGATTTAAATACTGTATGGTTTCAGCAAGATGGCGCCACAGCGCATACAGCACGAGCAACAATGGTTCGACTGCGAGAAATGTTTCCAGGAAGAGTCATTTCGCGGAATGGAGATGTTCCTTGGCCGGCAAGGTCTCCCGATCTCACGGCTTGTGACTATTGGTTATGGGGTTACCTGAAAAGCAAGGTATATTTAACGAGCCCAAGGACCATTGAAGAATTGAAGGAAAACATTCGCAATGAAATTAGCGCGATTCCGATGAGTGTGGTACAGCGCGTAATGGGGAATGTACGAAACCGTTTGGAAGAGTGTGTCCGCAGTGAAGGACATCATTTGACCGAAGTTATTTTCCATACATAAAATGGCATGATTACTTATATATGAAAATAAATATCTTGAAAGATACATTTGTAGTTTCATATTGAAACTCATCAGGTTCCTTTGGCGGACCCTGTAGAAAGTTCCTGTTTGTATTGTTTTGAAGAATAGACTTTCATTTAGACAATTCATTTCACAGATTTTCAGTTTTCCCTTCTATCCAGAGAATTATGTAAATGATCATAGCAGTCTAATCTCCGAGTTTCCATTTTTGTTAGTCCGTGACTTTCACAAATCTTCACACTAAGATATCCAATTAAACTAATTCGTGATTCCTCAAAACTAGATTACAAAAGTATGCTGAATTCATCGCAGATGCAGCTATCGCTGTATCTGCTGTAATTTTTAACCAGTATGAGAGAAAATAAACATGTCGTGTGATACTCAGTCCAGGACACCTTGAATTGCTTAGTAATTCTAATTTTTATAGTCTCTTCTTACCTGTCATCATCATCATATTCTTCATCGACTTGTATAGGTAACGAAGGCCTAAAATTTTTGAGTGGATTTTGTCCATAGTCCCTTTTCTGTAACCTCTTCTCTTGCCTAATTTGTGATTTAGCACTTTGTGATATACAGTGCGCTGTCGTCAGGAATAGGCATATTGATATCAGGTACGAATTCATTCTGGAAATATAGAAACAATATGTTCTCAATACATTTATGGAATCTAAAGATGTAAAAAATAACAATGTGCAGAGCAGAGTGGTCATTACAAAAAAAATGCCTCTATCAAACAGTGAAGTCAAAGGGTAAAGTTGTTAATACGAGCTTTGTAATTAATTAAGTAGTGAGGCGGTTGGGAGTTTTTCTTTCGAATAGATGCATTATCGTAAATTCTATATATGAAGAAGTGTATCTATTAAAAACTTCTGCATTTAGTTTTAAAATTATATTATGTTCATATTTCACATCATGTTAGTTCTAAATATGTTGGCAATATTTGTGAAGCGGATCGAAAAATTTTTGAGTAAGTCGTTTAACGGCACACGTATTGTGACTTCTGAAAAACATTTTAACCTATTAAAATAAAAATTAGGTTTACAAATATTCCCTCAAAGCTGAAAATTCATACAGATCTTAAATACATCATTATGAATAATACTTCGGAACTCCTCATATATCCTTGAAGCGGACCCTTGTTTTATTTGAACTGAAATGTCAAAAATATCTCGTTCAGCAGTAGCTCAGACCCTATAAATAAAATGACGCCTAAACAGCGATTCACAAAGAAATTGGCAATTTGTGTAGAAAATTACAATTTTGGTGTAAGCTATTTTTGAAGTTACTTATACCGTTCTAGAACAAAATAAAGAATGTTAATTTCGACATGTAACCTTCAACAGAAAATTTTGTGCTCCAAGGATCGATGGGAACTGTTGATATATTAATTACAATAACATATTAAAAGTCTGAATCAATTCTTATTACCTTCTTTCTTGAATTTCCAAGCATTTTGAGATCAATTGTTTTACACAAAAGGTTGGAAAACATAAAACGTTTTTATAACATAATAATCAAGTTGCTCTGGATAATACCTGAGTGGCATTGCTATGGTTTTTAACAATAACAAATCAGGATGGCAACAAAACTAATAAACGGGAATAATAGCTACAAAAATTGTTCAAAATGAGCACCACCTTGCTTAACACACTCTCGAACTCGACGAAATAAACTTGCTGCACTCTCCAAAGCATTTGGATGTTATTTTTGATTTCCTGGCTATGGTGGAAAATTCTTTGTCGAAAACCATTGTATTGTAAACGCGTTGTTTTAAATCACCCCAGAAGAAGGAATCCATAGGATTTAAAGCTGGTGATCTAGCCAGCCACGATACATCTCCTATCCACTGGTCTGGATAAACTCTATTCAGGTGCTCTCTAACTAATATACTAAATTGAGGTGAGCACCGTCGTGCATAAACCACATATTCTTGCGTGTTTGTAATGGAAGATCTTCCAGCAGAGCGGGTAATTCCTCTTCAAGAAATTGTAAATACCTTTGACCATTTAGTCTAGGTGGTGACTCAACGGGTCCTATTAAATATTATCCAATTATTCCTGCCCATAAGTTAATTTGAAATTGTACTTGGTGGCGGTTTTGTAATATTGCATGAGGATTTTCGTCTGCATAAATGTGAAGATTGTGCGAGTTAATGGGTCCATTCCTTCCAAATCCTGCTTCGTCCGAAAATAATATTAACGAAGTGAAACAATTGTCATGGTTAAACTTCCTTAAGAGCCATGAACAAAATTCTACCCTTGCGGGGTCATCATCCGCGCTTAAACCATGTACTATACTTTATGCAGGTGGTATGGATGGAGCAGTTGCTCTTGAAAATGGTATTTACTGTACATTTGGAAGCTTGAAATTCTCGAGCTACATTCCTAACCACAACTGTAAGATTTTCAGAGACAGCATCTAAAACATTTTCTTCAACTACAGCTGTACGTACAGATCTGGGAGCTCCACTATGTCGGCCCATATTTTAAGCAAAACTACCAAAAATCCAATTGTTTTTGTCCACTCAAAATAAGGCTATAGTGATGACTTACCAGTTTCTCGTAACCGCTGGTCGATTCGCTGGAATAGGCAATGTGTCTATCAGGGAATCTGTCAGCGTACAATCTCCGTGCTTTTAAGGCATTACATTATACAGGGTGGCGCATCGAAAACGAAACAGACGCATTTACTGGCAGCACAGGTTTTTTTTGGAAGAACGCTCAGACCCGTCGATTGTGTTTGGCAAAAAATCCCCTTAGCACGTGCAGCCCCCTAAGTGGGGGTGACACCACCCCCAAAATCTTAAATGGAAAGGGGGATCGAGTGATACCTTATTTTAAAGGTCTTTCAATTCCCTTCATAATGATATAAAATTAATGTACTTCAGTTCAGTAGTTTTGAAGACTTATTGATTTAAAGCTTAAATAAAACTAAAACATCATCATTAGTGGAGATCAATACATTTGGCAGCAAAGTAATTTGAAAATGAAGAATGAACTGACCCGTTAGGCAATTAAATGTTGAAAATGGCCACCATGACTGTCCATGCAATAATAAAGATTTTGCTCTAAACGTTGCCGCACATTTTGCAATATTTGAGAAGTAATTTGAAGGCACTCATTCACAATTCTTTGTCGCAGGTCTTCTAATGCTGTTGGCTGAGTAGCATAGATTTTGCTTTTTAAATGACCACACATAAAGAAATCCAAAGGTGATAAATCTGGCGATTTTGGGGGCCGCTCAATGGCACCTCTTCTACCAACCCATCGATCTGGAAACGTCTGATCTAAATATTGTCGAACATGTAATGCGTAACGTGGTGGGGCACCATCCTGTTGGAACATCAACCTATTCGCAATGTACCGCCGATCATTTTGATTTTCAATTATGGCTGTTAATGCAGGATCTATGGCGTCTTCCAGTAATTCCAAATACATTTCACCGGTCAAATTTCCAGGTAAGAAAAAAGGACCAACTAAATGATCGCCAAAAATTCCAGCCCAAACATTTAATTTTTGTGGCTGCTGTGTATGAACCTCATGATAAATTCTGGGATTAGAATCGGCAGTTATGACGATTTACTACGCCATTTTAGAAAAATTAACATTCGTCGGAAAAGCAAGTGTTGAATAGAAAATGTTCATCGTTTATAATTCTTTCACTCATATCTTCACAAAATTGTAATCGCCGATCAAAATCGTCTTCGTCGTTCTTGTACCAGGTGAATTTGATGCGGATGAAAATTATGGGCTTTTAGAATCCGTTGGACAGTACGTCGACTAACACCACACACAATCTCCAATTTGCGGGTACTTAACGTAGGATCTACATAAACTACCTAAACCACCACTTCTATTGCTTCGTTCCTTATTGGATTTTCAATGTTGCGTTTTTTATTGGCGACTGATCCAGTTTCCCGATGTTTAGCTACAAGTTCTAGATCCTATTTTCGATGCACGTTACTGTTCTCATGTCACTCATTAAATATTTCTGCTGTTCTATTAGCGCACTAATTATTTCCGAAAAATATTTCGATAATTTCAACTCTTTCTGCTGTGGAATATACAATGGTTAATTTATGTAATAAAGCATTACAAGTTATTTTAGCAACAAAGTTTGGTCAAATCAATCGCAAACTATGTACTAAATGCCTATTTAAAATAAGTACGAGATATTTCCTTATCTTTCTTCAACAAATAACCTTTTTGCCACAAAAAAAACGCTCCAATAGCCATTTTCAACAACAAAATGATAAACAAACCAAGGGCGTAGTGAAGAAAAGCATTTACTTAAGTAAATTCTTTTAGTCAATTTTTTTCTGAAGGTAGTACAAACTAATCTGATGTACCTATTAAAGTCTACTTTAATCTTTAAATCAATAAATCTTCAAAACTACTGAACTGAACCTCATGTATTTTACATCATTATGAAGGGAATTGGAAGACCTTTACAATAAGGTATCCTTTCCATTTAAGATTTTAGGGTTGGTGTCACCCCCGCCCAAGGGCTGCACGTGTTAACATGATTTTTTGCCAAACTTGTGTCCCTCTCGAAAACAAAATCAACGGGTCTGAGCGTTTTTCCATTAAAAAAAAACTGAGCTGCCAGTAAATGCGTCTGTTTCGTTTTCGATGCGCCACCCTGTATATTCATACATTATATTCATCAAACGTATACTCCATGATGTTTAACAACTTATAGTCAACTTAAAATTATTCATGTAGTTGAAGGCAATATTATGACAAACATTAGAAACCATGGCAACGCTACTCAGATATTATCCCAAGCAACTTGATTATTATGTTATAAAAATGTTTCATCATCATGGTACAAATAATGCTTTGGAACTTTTGAGAACAAATACATCGAAAACGATTAGCTTTATATACTTCTAACAAGTGAACCTTTTTGTGTTGTGGAAATACGAGAAAATAAGGTTTTTTAGTCAGTTGTTGTATTCAGGGTAGCACAAAAAAGTTATGATAAGTTATTTACCAAAATAGTGTAAGTGGGGCTCTATAGAAGTTTGGAAATTAAAAATAACAGATATTTGTTTCTCATACGAGAAAACCTCCCTATACCCAGATTTATGCCAAAATCTGAAATACTTCTCAAGCAATAAGGAATAATAGAAAATAAAATTGTAACTTATCTCGCAAACTATCAACTTTTGGACTGAGAAATTCTTAGGTCAATTCACACATTTTGGTCTGTAGTATCTCCAGTTTCGAGATTTCCCAACCTTTCGCAGTATATCAATCATAATGCTGTATGGGAATTTATGCAAACTTCCAATATTTTTCGCTATATTTTGTCTGAGCTAATTTGATGGATTTTTTTTTAAAAAGTTTCATATGAAGTTTCACCATCCCTAAAATTTTCTCCAAAAAATTAAAGAATGGAAACATTTTTATGTTTATTGTTTTTTCAGAATACGACCCAGATATGAACAGATGAGTGTTGATATGACAAGAAAGAAACAGGTTACATCTGATACTTTCATACCAAATTTTCTCCAAAGAGAAGTTCCATCAGTATTTGCCCCAAAGGTTCATGTGACATTAAATGTTTCATTCAAAAACGCGAAAGAGTTTCAGAAAAAGTCAGTGGTGTAAGGAATATCCTTCAAAGGA